GCCACGAAGTGGTAGGCCACGTAAACTGACGGAGCGGGGTCAGCGGATGCTGACGCGCATAGTGCGAAGAGGTCGCCAACTTTCTGCAGAGTCAATCACTACAGACCTCCAAACTTCATGTGGCCTTCAGATTAGCTCAAGAACAGTGCGCAGAGAGCTTCATGGAATGGGTTTCCATGGTCGAGCAGCTGCATCCAAGCCATACATCACCAAGTGCAATGCAAAGCGTCGGATGCGGTGGTGTAAAGCACGCCGCCACTGGACTCTAGAGCAGTGGAGACGCGTTCTCTGGAGTGACGAATTGCGCTTCTCCATCTGGCAATCTGATGGACGGGTCTGGGTTTGGCGGTTGCCAGGAGAACGGTACTTGTCTGACTGCATTGTGCCAAGTGTAAAGTTTGGTGGAGGGGGGATTATGGTGTGGGGTTGTTTTTCAGGAGCTGGGCTTGGCCCCTTAGTTCCAGTGAAAGGAACTCTGAATGCTTCAGCATACCAAGACATTTTGGACAATTCCATGCTCCCAACTTTGTGGGAACAGTTTGGAGCTGGCCCCTTCCTCTTCCAACATGACTGTGCACCAGTGCACAAAGCAAGGTCCATAAAGACATGGATGACAGAGTCTGGTGTGGATGAACTTGACTGGCCTGCACAGAGTCCTGACCTCAACCCGATAGAACACCTTTGGGATGAATTAGAGCGGAGACTGAGAGCCAGGCCTTCTCGTCCAACATCAGTGTGCGACCTCACAAATGCGCTTCTGGAAGAATGGTCAAAAATTCCCATAAACACACTCCTAAACCTTGTGGACAGCCTTCCCAGAAGAGTTGAAGCTGTTCTAGCTGCAAAGGGTGGACCGACGTCATATTGAACCCTATGGATTAGGAACGGGATGTCACTTAAGCTCATATGTGAGTCAAGGCAGGTGAGCAAATACTTTTGGCAATATAGTGTATTTAGTAATCTGTTGGCCATTTGATGTAATTTTTTTATTTTTTTTTTATTCTAAAGGTTTATTAGAATGAATACCCTTATCCTTTATTCTGTTAACATAAGGAATTTGGAAATACATTTTAAAGCTGAAACGATAGGAGTTGATTTTATTTCCTCACACACCTACTGTTCAGTCACTCTCTGAAGTGAGATGGCATGTTGCTTTGACAGATTTTGTCCTTTTGCTGCAGGCCCTAGACTGCAGCACCATGTTGTCGAGCATCTGTTCTCTTTTAATCTAATTGGACGTTTTGCGTTTTGAACACTAGGCACACAACGCGATTTATTGTTGCTTTCATCAGCAGCAATATTCATCATGATCAGTGAATCAGGGCGCGACACTGTCCTTATTTCAGTGCTGTTTTTAAAAAACCTTTGTTTAGACCTATTTATTATTCGCCACAGTATTTTCAGTCACATGAAGGTTTGGTTTTTAGTTATGCATTCATGCTTTTTAGGTGTAGATAAGCTGATTATTGAAGTTTAAGAATTCACACACAGGGATAACTTCACACTGTGCTGATGCTGCTGTGTCTCAGCACTGCCAACACCTCCGCTGCACACAGCTGCCATATGGAAGGCTGTTTGGATGATCGTTTTGTTGTGGCTTCACATGAAGCTGACATGGCAAACATCGCACTTCACATCCAATTATAAGAGGATCATAAACAGCTCTTGAATCTATGGGAACGAAAAATGATCACAGGTCTGACTTAAAGGTCAGTGTTCATCAGTATGAAAGTATGGAAATAAAGACCAAATGCAGAGAATCTAGGGGAACAAAGAAAGGGCACAAAAAGCATTTTTTTTATAACAAACATGAATGTTTGAACAAATAAAAATGCCATATATGAGTTTTAATCAAAGACATGGTGAATGTCAAAATAGTTAATGAGCATCTATACTATAATAACAAAATAAACAAATAAATAGTAAAATCCAGAAATATTATTTAACAGCAAAAATGCAGATAATTTAAATAATACATGAATTCCTGGGCTCTGGGGGAGGAATATCTCCTTGTTATCTTGACAGCTATTTTATAACTTCTTTAACACTGTCAATTAATCCTCTATGGCAGCAATATGAGGTCAAACCTGTTTCAAACCCACCAGCTGTGTCATTTACATCACCCTAAAGTGCAGAGTTTGCACATTTTATGTGCACATGAGGGGGGGAAGTTCTCTGCTAAGCCCCCCATTTATCATAGATCTGCACTGAAACCGATTTGGTTTGCAGATCCAAGAAGGTCCTGAAAGATGCAAGAAGGGATGTTTGCCGAATGACTAGGTAGAGTTTTTTCTAAAAGATAAAACAGCGTGTGTTTGAATGAACACACTTTTTTACTTTGTTTCAGGTGCTTTTTTACCCTTTTTCCTCCTTTGATTGTTTTCTTTGGACTTTTTTACTGCTTTGACAGCAGAGTTCATATAAAAAAAAACACAATACACATCAGTTATAAAACTTTAATAAGAACCTTCTTTTTTCTTTAAACACAAACATTGTGTGTAGAAGCCTGATGGCCACTGTGTCCAGTGATGTGACACAGCTGTAGGAAGAAATGGATCAGACTAAATTCTTTTCAAATGTCTAGCATTCATAATGACATTATGAATAGCGCCTTAATTTGAGTTTTTCTCAATGCCATTTTTTCCGATCATGAATACCTAACAACAAACTTGGTTCCTCACAAAGCCTGGGTATGTTTTGGTTTATCTGCTCTCCCATCTATTGCCTGTCAGATCATTCCTCTCAGTTCCCTTCCTCACCTAACAAATCGCTGTGTAATCCTTAACTTTCCTGTCTTACATGCAAGCTCAATTTCTATCACTACATTTCTATTCTTAGGTAGGGACTCTATTCTTCAGTGTTCACATCTAACTCAATCATTCTTCATTATTTTTCTGCATACAGATTTTATTTATATTTAGCAGCTTTTTTCAGTATCTGTAGGTTTTTTTCAAATCTTCTGAGACATCATTTAAAATTATAGACCTATTGTTACAGTCGAATATTTCAAAAACTGAAGGTAGCTGTTCTTAGAAATCTCCTTTCTTAGAATAAACTTTACCCCATGACAATTTAAAGAAGAGACATGAAAGAGAAGTTAAGATGTTTAGATGACTGATGAAGCTTAGAAGCTTGAACCAATGTAAATGTGAGCTCAGTTCTACCCTGGCGGCTGTCGTTTGTCTGTTCCTGTAGGAGTTTTGAGTCAGCCTTTGACTCTCTAAATGGCTCCCCATAATGAGTTTAGATGCGTGTGCTTTGAGTTTTGAAACTAGTTGATGGTTTTTAAATGAGTTAAAGGAGTTTTTGTGTGCTCCAAGTTGTTTTGTGTCATTTGATATCATCATCATCTAGTGTTTGTGTATTCTAACATATAATGCCATCAGCAAGACATCTTCAGGACGTGTAATGATAATGAGTTGGGGAACATTTTTCGTTTCAAGATCATTTGTAAATCACATCCGTGGCAAAACATCCGTTTCTTTTCTTAGCAGGGCTGCTCGTTCTGTTTGTTAAGATTCTGTGTTTTAGGTCAGTTGCCATGGCTAAGCTTCGTTGCATCAGTATACAGTAGAGGCTTGCGACCGCTTTCCTGCCCTGTCCCTGCTGCCCATTACTCAAACATGGATCCCCCCTCTAGATATCCATCATCTTGAGACGTGTATTGAAACCATGATGATAATGACAGTAAGCGATGGATTTTAGAGCAACACGCATTTAAACTTCTATGATAAATTTTTGAGAATAAAGCTGTCAGCATTTTTCCCCTTACGGAGGAAAAGCTTTTGAATTGTGGTCTCTACATATTTATACCGTTAAGCTCTATAGCTGTTTTCCTATTGTTTTGGAAGTTTGAAGGTTTTAATGAGGCCACAGAAGAGTTTCTCATACTTAACTTTCTGTTGTGGTCGAGTTTCAGTGGGAATCAATGGAGGATTTAGAGTGGGCTTAGATTGTTCGCTCTCTCTGACACACATGGGTGCAATTCCCAACCACACACAGTCAAACATAGTTCCTCTGCCTTTGCTAGATAATTGGGTGCAAATCCTAAGTAGCGTTTACGTTTTTTGTCTAGTATATTCATCTACTTACATATGAGGTTGGCTTTATATTATAAATAACCCACCTGTTCTTGCCTATATTAACGCACATCAACTTTATTTTACTGAAGTCCAGAAAAAGTGGTTTCTCGCTCTTTAAAGATGGTCATATACTTAACTACCTGTCCAGAGCCCTCCATTGCATCACTTCTGTGCTGAGTTTATCTTCTGCTAGATTTCCCTTCCTTTTCTTCTTCCCGAGCACTTTGACAACCAAAACATTTTTCTTGTTGTTGTTTAGGTCATACTTTAAATGTCTCCCAGGTCAAAGAATATATTTTGAGGAGTTTGATTTATTTGTGCTTTTATATGGACTGAGCGCTTGAGAAAGCACTTACTCTTGCATGGTTTGCCCTGTGGTGTGTGTTAGACAAGGCCAGTGACCAGTGATTCACTGATAAATGATGTTCGTATGTGCCTCTACAAACCCATATATTACTGTCTGACCCCATCTGATATGACCGGACTTTAGCTGTATGGAAAAAATCCTGAGAGCAGCCTCTCTGTACCCCAGATTACTTTGTATTATTAGTGCTTTGCATCCCTGTCGTTGTTTATAGCTTCTTACGATCGTCACTGACCCGATTTTTCTTTTTTTACACACATACACTGTAAACTCACATTTTAAGTAATATGGTTAGATTAAGCCATAATAAGCCTCATCGCTCCAATGGAGCACTTTAGGTGAACAGCCTTCAACAAAGACACCTCCAGAGACCTTTATAGCTTTCCAACATTAGCTCCCATGGCAGATTTTTACCCTTCAAAGTATTCTAAGCTCAAAGCTTTGTCTGTGTTTCTGCCCGCCTTCCTGTTAATAATTTCCAACATTTTAGCCGTAAACTGCTCTCTTTGTTTAGTTTTGTTTCATTATTTAATAACTCTAACTTCTGTTCCTAGATTCATTCAGGAGATAGAGATGAACATGGGACCTAGCCAAGCCAAACAGTGCCAGCTCCGGGCCTTCCTCACCTACTACATCAATGACCTCTTCCTTAACCAGGTTAGTAAATATGTTAAGGGGTTGCCTCAATGACTAACTGACTAATACAAGCTCAGAGCAGCAGTTTATTGAAATATTCTAGTTTTTATATCTAATGTGACTCTTTACAGTGAAAGCTAAGGTACATTATGAGTCATTGTCACTCTAAATACCACACTGACTCATTGTAATCAAAACACATTGTCTATTTTTCGTTTTTCAAAGTGCTTTTAACTTCATAACCATAAGGGTGTATTTTACTTTTTAATTACACAAAGTGCGTTAGAATGCTAAAAAGAAAAACAGAATAAACATAAAAATGCCTGTTGCTAAGAAACAGAGTGTTACCTTAAAGTTGTAGGGAAGTCATATTTAAATGTCACAATATTCCGGCTTAAACATGTATATAAATGTACTCTTTATCAGAGGATATTTTCACAAAATTTGGAAAATTTCTATTTAAGAACAAATCATGTCTTAAAATCTGAAATCTAAAAACCTGCATTCGGCCAATCATATATCAACGGTCATCTGTTAATCACATTTTTTCAGTCATAGCATCTTGATGCATATGTTGCAGCTAATACATGCAACAGTTGAAATAAGAATCGTTTCCTTTCCCAATGAGTTATTCCCAGTGTTCACAGGGATGGACGTCTGTGTCTTCGGCAGGCGTAGAGCTAACAGAACTGGCAGCATTGCGAGGCAAGGGCTCAAACATGTACGGCTGTAAGCCTTCTACACCAAATTAAAGCTTCTGCTGCCCTGGCGTCCTCTTCCACTACAACTTCGTCCCCGCCTTACTCCTCTAAATAAAAAATTTATGATGGAGGAGACTCATCCACAACCTCCGACACAACACTCTCCTCCTCTTGCATGTTTCCGCTGCCCATAGCGTTCCTTGACAGTGTCGTTTCTAAGTCACCAATTTAGTGCTACTTGGTCCCAATGGAATTTCCCATTGGGAACCTACTAGTACTAAGTTGCTAACTGGTTAGCAAGAGGCTTCCGAGAAACCAGCCACAGCCAAACTTTCGAATATTCCACCAAAAAAATCCCGCCCCCTTGATAATCAACCAATCACATTCACTTTATTCACTTGTGCAAAGTCGTGCACCGTGCCGGAGAATTCGGAAATGCTACGGTTGGAACAGCCGTTTCCCTACGACTTTAATTAGTTAGATAGTTTAGTCTTCATGTTGTCTTCTGTTTTCTGGTCGTTTTTATACTAAATTTAATATTACATTCAACTTCTAATGGCCTAGAAAAATCCTTTACATGATGAACTCTCATTTGTTAGACAGAATCATCAAAAAAAAAATTGTATTTATATTATCAACGTTTCCTATTTTATTCTAAACATGGTGGATACATAAATGATTTAGACTATTTAGGTTACTTTTTTCTTCTCTATTAACCAATATTCTTTAATTCTTGCCATCAACTTTGACAAGCATCCCCTTTAAAATGTATAGAATATTAAACAATCAAATGTGTCCATTTGAAAATGAGGTATAGTCCTTAGTATCATTAATATATTCTTAAAATAATTTAACAGAACATTGCGCTTTAAAGTCAAGATTTTAAACATACTGGTATCTCTGTTCTGACTTACCAACTCAATATGATCTTGAATTGCTCCATCAGAAGACTTACTTCAGCTGGGGAATAGAGATTGGGTCTAAATCAAGATGTAGAAAAAGCTTTGAGTAAGATTTTTGATTTGTAGCACAAAATCCTGTACATTAACAAAAACATAAAACTAGTTTCGCTTTTTTGTTTTGTTTTTTGAAGTATTAATTATCGATGTACATTCATAATTTCCATCACTATTGCAACTATGATTTTATATTCAGTAGATGTTTTAAATTTTCTCCTTGAACCATCAGGTGCGGGCAGAAATCAACAAGGAAATCGAAGCAGTAAGTAAGGCTGCTGACCCCTTGAAAATCCTCGCTACTGCCGATACGATGAAGGTCCTTGGCGTCCAGAGACCTCTGCTTCAGGTGAGAAGTTTCAAGTATTACATTCAATATATTCCCAACATAAATTATAGATAATCTAAATGCAAACCTGGCTTATCCCAGTAAAGTGTTTGTATGTGTACCAGCTTCCCTGATTTATTTCTTCTTTCTGTGTCACTAAAGGGTATAATTCTCTGCTGTACCCTCTTATTTTCTGTGATTTCCACTCATGTTCACTCAAGGATTTGGGTTCCACATAATCCCATGTGAGCTTTTAAGGATAACCTTAAAAACACACTAGATGTTTTGTTTGGCACAGATTCACTCCTGTAGCTGTGTTCTATTGAGGACAGGCCCCTGGTGTACACTCACCTTGCAGCTCTCTGCTTTCTCTGATCAAGGGGGCAAGCTTTCTTTTTCCTCATCGCCTTGTTTCACTTGAATTTTCCTACTTTATTTCAGGTAAAAACCTAACGTCCTCATAGTTTCTCCCAAAATTAGAATTTTATAGTTTTTGGTGACTAAATCTTACCAAGCATCTACAGCCTATATATATATTTTTTTGTGTGTAATTCAAAGGCATTCTTTTTTTAAGGGGCAGTTTTTAATATTTAAAATAAATATACTTAGAGAAGCTGTCTCCATCCTTTACACGGGACTAACCAGTAGCATTTGATACCCCTCTTTGCTAGCTCACGGGTTGGACTCCATTTAACATTTTTATTGAGTTAATTTCAGGGTCTGTAATTAATAAATTGATTTACATTGAAGCAAGCAGATCATTTTAAAATTATAATCATTTAGCTTTTTAAACAAAATCCTGATATATCATTTACATTAAATGAACATTCTTTATAACACTGCTCCATCTGAATATGATAATAATTACATTGCAAGCAGGAGTTAAAGTTCTATGTTGATGTCCTCGCTGAGAACTTTTGAGTGACTGTTGTCACTGGCAGTCATCTAATTCTTCACAAAACCATAGTTAGTCTGTGACTGATGTTGCACTGAGAAGTCTATGTTGTTGAGATCATTTTACTGAAACCATTGTTCAACCGATCGGTAAACAAAGCAGTTTTTTTGAAAGTTATGTGTGACTTCATCAATCCCTCCTATACAGAGCAGTTCAGTTTATCAAAAGAAAAATGAATACATCTTCTGTCTGATCTTAATTGGATCTGTTTTACTAGTGGTTTTTGTTAGTCTTTCTTAGGTAAAACTGGTTGGAGATGTAAACATTTCCAAAGCCATGATCCATACTGTTGGCCAGATAGGTCTCAGCATGTTCTCTTCTCAGAGTTTTGTGAAGCTCATTTTTCTGTGTACTTTAAAAATGTATTTGACATACATGAAGGTTTTATAGTAATGAGTGGTATCTGTGTGTGTTCTTGCCCACACGGTTCTCAAGAGACATCCCAGAGAGGAGGCTGTTGGTTCTGTGGGTGTCTTATGTGCAACAACTCTTGGAAGTGAATGTTGGGCTGTTTGTTTCTGTCAGAGCCTTCCTGTCTGTTTTCTCACAAGGAGCGAACAGCGGAGAGAAAAGGGACTGTGGGTGTTTGGAGTTCAGCAGGGTTTGTTTACGGCTCAGGCCCCTCCTTAACGAGGAGTTCAGCATCTTCCTAATTATGCTGCTGTGGCTAATGAGGCTCTTTGCTGATAGTGGGGAGTGCAATAAAACACTCCTTTGTTAGGGCTTTTTGCCTGTTTTAATTGGGCTAAATAAGAAAAGCCTTCCAATGTTTTCTGTGCTGAAGTTTATATTCAAGTGTCAGAATGACATTTCTCTATATTTGTGATGTGTATTTGTTTCTAAGCTAGTAATTTTGCTACCTGTATGTCTGTTACCGTGCTTTTGGTCTACTGTTTAAGTGGTTTCCCATTGTTTTCTTCTGTGGCCTCGACTCACAGTAGACGTGTTTCCATCAACATTAATTTTTGAAGTAACTTCAGAATAGCTTGATGGAAACGGCAAAAATAAATCAACACACTTGACTTAGCAAAACACTCACTTCAGTTGGTTTTTAACTTTTTTATGAATGAAGGGTAAATGCGCTAAAGAGGAGATGGAAACACAATTCTATAATCAGTTCTTATTCTGCTGCCACCATCAATCATTCCACGATCTCGTCGCATCTCCGGATGGCGCGTATTGTCACAAATAGTAGCTAAAATGATAAAGGTAGTAAAACGTGCCAAATTCCAACACCTTTATTAAAACATTCCATTACTTAACTGTTGTTTGCGTTGCTGTGCTCCCCCTTTCTTCCTGTTTATTACAGCCAAGCTTAACATCAACGTATGGCAACATTGCCCTTTGCATCAACTGGCTAATTCTTTCCAATGGATGAAAATGCATCTAGATCACATTTTAAAGGTTGCCTCAAAGTTAGCATGATATTTGAATGGAAACAAAGCTAATGGGATTCTTCCATTATCCTCCTTCCATCCTCAGTGTTTTTATTAACTTAGGCACAGCTTTTATGATTACTAAGGTTGAAAAGCTATACAGCAGGTACCTAGATAGTACTGTTATACTGTATGTGAAATATATTCTAGTTCTCATAATGCGTAGTGAGGGAAGTGTTTGTTCTTAAAACACATACATTTTAAACTTGGCTTAAATAAAATGTCTATTACAGGCATAAGTGTCTTATGAGGCTGTAAATCTGCTAAACTCCTTTAGTGGGAAAAATTATTACTGAATAATCAGTTCTGTTGGTTTGTTGGGAAAAATGTGATTTCAAATAGTTGAAAAATCATACAAAGTCCTTTTGTAAATGAATATTACAGGTCTAATGGAGAATATTCGCAAATATTTGTAAACACCCACCCTCTCCACTTTTTGAAATAAATTGCATATGCACAACCTTGTACCGCTCCGGAGAGGGAACGTACGCCTGTTGAACACGTGCGAGAGCGTGCACAACTCCACGAGTGCACGAGTCATTTTCTCCTCTCTTTAAAAGTTGCTGTTTGCATCGCTCATACAAGCTTACTTTCCAAAAGAAGATTTGCAATTTTTTCCACTATGTCAGACTTGGCACAGGTAAATGAAAATGTGGAGGAATACGCAGGAAGGCCTTACGTAAACATATCACCAGAATGATTGACAATTAAGAGGAACACTTATTTTGATGATCCACTCAGAAAAAGAACATCCTCTACTATAACGCTAACCTTTTTAAATTCAATTTAGGATTACAATTTATTTTGGATGCATGGTTATATTTATTTAAAAAGTTGTAAGGGAAAAATAAATAAGATATCTTTGTAAAATTTGCCCATATGTACTTTATGTGCCCCATTAGACAACATGGAGGATTCTTTGCCAGGTGTTATCAGAACCAGACAGCACATCAAAGTAAAAGGCCCAGCACGTTTGATACGCAGGAAAGAACCTAATATTGCTACACAACATTAAACTCTTCCATACAGTCTGGCAGCGGCCGTATATAGAAAAACCATAGGGGATCACAATTTTTATAGAGGCATCTGCTCACTGCAGCCACTGAAGCGCACATTCATGTGCAATGGTATAAATTGTAGGAAGTTATTAACATCAATGGTTTTTATGGTGGGTTTTTTTTATGATATGAGAAACTGAAAAATTAAAATGAACTGTTTTTAACTGTAGTCTTACATGCAGGTTTAAACGACTATATATAGCTACAAATTTAATTTTTATAGTAGTTTTACCTACCTTACCTTACTTTGTACTTTCTCTTCTACCTTGCTTAGGAAAATTGAAGATTAAATCATTATTTTTACAATTTCTTTTGAATATCCTGAGCATAAATTCATTATGAATGAACTCAATGAGTTGTTTGGGCTTAGTTTTCTTAGTATTTAATAGCAAAAATTCAATATGAAAAATAGTTTAGCTACAGTTCTTTACTAATGTGACTTAAAGAAGTAGTTCTTTAACTATGGAGCTTTGGAGATTTTAATATACTCCTAAAATCCACTTGAATTATTATTTTGCTGTTTTCATTAAAACCGATTAGCAGAATCAACATAAGAAAACACAAAAAAAGGCTAAATTAAATGCAACTGTACTCAGAGTAATAGGAATCAAAGAAAATATTTGACCATGTATAAAATATTAAAGTCTGTAACTTAGTGATATTATTGCTACAGCGTACAAGAAAGGGTTCTTTCTTCTGTCTGTGACAGAATTACATTTATCTTTGAGTCAAACTATTATCAAGTAAATTTGTGTTACATTTTTGGATAAAGCTTAAGAAAAAGTTCAGGATGTTTAAAGAGTTATAAGCACATAATATTAGTGATGCATCGATCCAGAGCTGTATCCTTTCTAGATCAAGTATTGGGGACAAAGAGCTCGATTCATATGGGCAATGTGCTCAGTCTGTTTCTGTAATGCATTTAAGTTAGGTTAAAAATTTCTGTAGCAGCAGAAAGTTTACTTGTTCATGGGCATCCATCTTTGATTTAATAAATGTTACCAGCTTCAATCCTTACAATTGGTTTTTTAGATGGCATTTGTTCTTTTAACACATTTTACTGTTTATGACTTTTGAAATATATATATATATATAATATATATATATATATATATATTCGTATATGTATACATTTAAAACTATCAACTTACTGGTAGAGAGGAGTTTTTGATTACCTTTTAAAAAATCAATAAAAGAAAATCATTTCATGATATTAAAGCAAACTGTTTTAAATTAAAGCTCTGCTATCAGAAATGTAGCATGTTCTACTGATATCCAAATTCGAGTATCGAATCGAAAGTGTAGAAATTATGGATCGGTGCATCCCTTGAAAATTTCGACAAGTTTTGTTTTAGGCCACATGTTTTTATTGACCTTGCTTTGTTTTGTTCTGTAACTTCATAAACTTTTTCACTAAAGTACAGTTTAGTAATATATGGAAATCTATTGTTTATTTTGCTGTTTTTTTTTAATTGCTCACTTAATTCTAACATTTATTTTCTTTCTGAAAATCTGCATGCCATATTACCAAAGCCGTATTTGACATTTTTAGTAAAGGACATTAAATCTGTA